TGCGAAGCAAAGCCTGACGTGACTGACAGCCAGTGCTAATCTGTCCAGATCCGCTTGTCACAGTTGCGCGAATGGAAATATTAGTGCAGTATCGTCGGCATAAGCCAAGCCAACCATTTGCTCTCCTGCGATCTACACCTTCCAAGTCGAGTCCTACGAGCGAAGTCTCGTTGAATTCTTTAATACCGAAGGTAAAGAGGAAAGTTGACTGCAGACATACTTGCCACACTGCGCTGGCGATTTGAAGCACTGCGACAGCTGATCATAAGCTGTGAAGCTGCTTTGGCTACTCGCTTATAAATTTCGGATAATATTTACATATTCTTCGGGCACACATTTTATGTTTGGCAGTCTCAAAGTGCATACATTTCCACCGAATCTAATGCACCTTGGATTTCGAGAAGCATGAAAACGGTAGGCGGCCAATATATATGTCGGTTTCTCAACAACTTAGGCAAACTGAAGATATGGCCATTGCAGTCAAGAAGTTAACGAAGCCCGGCTTGCTCTTTGTGAATCTGGCTTTCACGAATGCCGGTCAGTCTGTGAATAAATCACATCGGCAAGCCATGTGGAAGCGACGGATACCAGACATTTCGCTAGGTTGCAGCAATCCAAACGCATGCTGCCTTTTAAATTTGGGACTATGACGGAAAAGCTTGTCAGTTGGAATAGTTTCCTGCTTCCACAGTTCCACTAGTAACTCGCATAAATCATCCACAAGAGCAGGTCCGTGAATTTGCGGTGGGCTGGAGGAAGATCATTTTCCAGCAGCATTACTTAACTTTAACATCCTGGTCTCTCCTTTGACTTCTGAGCAAGATGGCGGATCCAGTTGGACATAAAAGGGAGCTTGGCGATCATTAACTTGCGAGAAATCTGATAGCTCTAACCGAGTAAATTGAATTTCAAGTGCGCAGCCTAACACGCCAAACTTTTTGATTGTTTGTGGCTGAGCTGTCTACTCTCATCGCAGGTATGTTCACTAAAACCATGTTCCCATATTAGACGGGAGAAAATTTTAATAGCTTTCAACGACTGCAGCCACTTTCATCTGTTATGCTTGATAAGACTACCAGGATTTTCGGTCCCACTTCAGGCTAGGACGGAGTCCTTCCCGGGGTTTTCGGCGTGACTCACCGTATTTACCACCAACAGGAACGGGACGGCTAGAACCTATAAGTTCCAGAGACTGAAAAGGGACCCATTGACCAGGTTGGTGATCAGGCTCCTTACATAAGGATTCGCCTGCTGCATGCTACATGAGAAAAGTAAGCGCCTACCCAACTTGCACGTCAGCGTACTTTAAAAGGCATTCAGAACAGCTGGATTCCTTACTTGGCTGGTGTCAATGCGCTTACAACTTCGTTGTGAGCTTTCACCAACACGCATCAGCAGTTCTGCAACCACAAGTGTACGGTCCGTGTTTACATATGTGCTCCATATGAAACGACAGTCCTAAACGCAGCCTCTACAGCGGCAATTGATCGCAACTGTGATCGATTTGCAATCACGGCTGGTTCGAGGCTGTAGGCGACAAGTCCTCCCCCTACGGGTGCTGTATCGAAAATTAGAAATAAGCAAGCATCTTCATACAAATAAGATAACCGCTTACCGTTATCCTTACAGAAGCCTACACCTTGTTGCCGGCCTAGCTGCAGTTCAACAGTAGATAATTTTGTACTTTGTGCTTTCAAATCCCCTCAGCGATTCTTCTGTGACAAACGAGCTCCATCAGTTAGCGCTAGATGTTCCCTTTTACCGCATCATCGCTAGGATTTGTTCTCTAATGGGCAGTGCTGACGAGTAAACACCTGTTAGTCCCGTGCGACTTTTAAGCTGTAAAGAAAAACCAGCCAATCGGAAAGCACAGGTCCGGCTACTTATCGGGATCCAATCAACAAGAGCAGCTACAGCATGGAACACATGACATTACCAACACCGGCTTGACGGGTGCTCGAAGCTACATCGTCATCGGATAGGCGCACTGAGAAAGTGATGCTGGTGTCACTTGAAGGGGATCGCAACGTGAGCACAGAGCTCGAGCCTTGCAGACGGGTATCCGATAACTAGCGGATATCCATATTGAGGGTCTCTAACGTTCCGGTAAGTGCTGCCTGTTGACCGATCATTAGCAGCGTGCGACAGTGTGGCATGCCAACTTGAAGGATGATCGAGGATTACAAATGCAAGCCCATGGACTGGGCTTGACCGCTTGCTTAGACACGGGCTTGCCGACTGGGCAGGAATGGCTTTCCGCGTGCACATGCGGGTTGAACGTATAAAGTAACTGCCTACCAAAGAAAGTTACGAAAGAGCCAAGAGTGTTGAAATCAGGTGGGATAAATGTGAAGCTGTAACGGTATGGTGAGTTTGATAATGCGTAAGAAATGGAACAAGAAGATTGGAAGGCCGAAGCAGCGGCATCTATAACCCTATCCATCATGCTCGATGCAGCAGATAGGGCACTGTTAGTTATCAGCTGCGGTGGCCAGACCCTCAGTAAAAGGTGCTGTTTTAGTCAGGAAATTGTTTGACAATGTTTCATGGTATTGCGTGGACAGAATCCTGTGAGGTTGCCCAGGCCCAGACAGGAGAACGAGTAGGGTTCTCATCCAAAGCATTTGGTTCAAAAGCTGACTGCAAGGGGGCGTGTATGACAGTAGGCTAAAAGCACTCCGTGTTAAAGAATAAGCTGCTACCTTTATTCCATACCACAACCTGCTGGACCAGACGGTTGTTTTTCACTTCTACCTATGGGCCAATCAGGTAGGATTTGCTGGCGTACAAAGCACTACCCCGCATAACACCATGGATATCTGAACCAAGCAAGGTATAGCACCAAGGTAATTTTCCGCCTCGTTGCATTGGCTAGTTCACCAGTTGTGGAAGGCTTATTTAAAATAGTTCAAGTCGCCTGGGCGAGCCGTGCAGGCAAGTAATTTTAGTAAGTAAATTCAGTTTGTCAATAGACTGCATATAACAAGCAAACCTGTGTTCTCAACATCCAATCAGGCAAAGTAACAATTATTTGAAGGATGTTTGTGAGTAACGTAAGTATCGTAGAAGGCAGAAGTTACGATTAAACTCCACACGAAGAATCGAACCCCGGTCCAAGAACTTCCAGTCCGTTGCTCTACCCCTGAGCTACCGAGGGCTAACGATTAGGTGCGCAATTTAACACGTGACTTCTGCTTAGTGCGCGACGTATTGCCAATGAGCTCCCAGTAACTGTCCTGATGTTGCAGATTGGCTCACTCACTCGTCACTTCCCAGTGGACCGAAGTAACTGTCCATCCGAAGTCCAAAGGGCGATGGTAGATAATTTGAAGGATGTTTGTGAGTAACGTAAGTATCGTAGAAGCAACAATTGTTCTCCATCACTCGTAAGTGACATTATTTGAGTTGTAAATTTTGAGGTTTCATCCCAGTAGTTCAGAAGCTACATAGCACAGCCTAGTCTGGAAAATCTAGAGACGCGTTTCGCCTTATTAGGGCTCGTCAGTGGTGCGCATTCCTTCGGACCACGAAGGGGGAACGAATCCATGACCACTAGAAAAAGATGCGAACTAGTCAGCAGCTCAAGCCACTAAGCCATGGGGGAAGTTGGCTGGGCTACATAATTTGCAAACTAACTGGGAGCTGACACCATCTTTCTTCCACTGTCGCTGACAGTGTTTAACCTGTAAGGTTATGACGTCCTCTCACTAGTCGCTATATCCATAGTATTTTGAAACTAGAGGCGGCTACTTATTTTATATTACTCGTAAGTAGCAGGGTTTTGCTTATAAGTCTGCTGAGTTCCTTCATCAGATTACGCAGATACTCAACTGCACTGACTCAAGCTTCACTGCCCTGATACTTGGTTAAACAGTAGCTGGCTTTATCCTTGAAACAATTTTCCATTTTCACATTATTCACTGCATTGTTGGACGGCGAAGTGCAGTCTCTGAAGAAGTCACAATATTTACAAAGTTAGGACATTGTTAAATATTTATTACTTGATAAATAAACGATAGCACTAAAACCATGGTTCACATTCTATTGAGTAACCAATCTGCCCAGTGGTTGTCAACATCTTGGCAAGCATTGCACTGTTATCATGGTTAAGTTATCTATGACTTCCGGACGGTGATAGAATTTGTTTCAAAAATGTCTTTTACTTGCTCTCAGCTCAATAGTTATTTTAAACAGGATTATATTTGAAAAGCACAATCATTAGACGAAGTTCCGCAGATGCATGCATTTCGTATCGTCTCATCAGAGCCCATAAGTATAACCGGTAATTTTACATAACAATTTGTGGTGCGGACATACATACAAACAAAGGAGAGAAAAAAGGAGTGTCTTTGTTCTTCAACCACGGCAGTCTGAGGCTGGCCGATAATTGTTTTTGAACACAAAGTATTGGCTTAATCCGATTAACGGCATTAGCCTCGGCAAACCGGAGTAGCCGGGAATTAGTATGACGAAGCAGGATTCGAAATGCCTTGTTGACCTCACAGAACTCATTTGTGACTGCTTATTTTTGGCCAGACAGCGAAACTGTTACCGGTGGCAATTTTGCATGTATCAACAGTCCCAGTACGATAAGTTATTTATACCGACTGACTAAACCAAAATGTACTTAAGGAGCTGTGGAGTATCCTTGCATAAAACTAAATGCGACCTGTACCAAACGTGGGGTTACATGTAAACTAATACATACCACGCACTAAATCATGCATTTAATTAAATCGAAGCTTCTGTTAATTGAATTAGAACGTCAAACTTTTGGAAAAAAGTAAAGGACAAATAGCTGCAACAATATGTCAAAAAGAATCATCATATTTCTAATGTACGCTGTCAATCATTCGACCGTTCAATCTTTATGTAAAATGAGGGCCATAGAGTGGCAGCAACTGGAACTTCCTGTGCAGTGTAGGAGAGTATCACACGAAGAGATGGTTTTGCTCATACAAACTGGAAGAGGATATGCGGCCATGTGCCCCCGAAACTGTTCACCTGGAATCTAAAAAAGTTAGGTTGACAATGCATAAGATTTGTGCTACTAGCCTGCATTTAAACTACGAAAACAATTTATAGCATTTTATCGACGCATTTCATAGAGGGATTTAAGTACTGTCCTGTTCTTAATGATGCGGGAAATTGCACGTAACTTTAATAGAGCGAGCAAATTGAGATTTCGTCAAATTTAGACCAATGCGTTCAGCAGCTTGCAACATAGATTTAGAGTTAACAGTTTCGTCCCAGCATAGGTAAATTTCGGCCCGATATTTATATGGTATTTTCTGATAATTAAATATACAATTATGTATAAGTTCCACACACCCAAGCAAGGTCAACCAGTAGTAAAGGTACAGGTAAAACCCTGTACACCTGTTTCATCATTGTGGGAATCGTCAGCAGTTGGCGTCCACCTGACCACTGTGCAGCTCCAACTTGAAACTAGGAAATTTCTGTTGTATGTTCCTGCTATAGGGAATATCTTCTTATACAAAAACATCCGCCTCTTTTATCACGTTATGAAAAAAGTATTTAACTGCACCCTTAATAGTTGAATTCGTGGCATTATTTTTTAAAATATCTATCTAAGCAACCAGCACGATTATAGACAAAGAAACAAACAAAGATTGCTTGCAATATATTGGTTTCTCAAATGACCATTTAAGAATGACTGGTCACGGCTATTTAAAGCTTTGACTTCTCAGCTTTTGCCGTTTGTTAATAACGATTGTGGCGGAATAGCGCTGCGTGCGTTCCCGCAAAGCCACGTTAGATGAAATTAACCGCTAGATTTAAGTCCGAATCATTCTGAATAGCATCGGGCTGCTAAATCCGAGATGAATTCGGTCATGAATTTATTAGCTTTGTGACTAGTCTTTCAATCAATACTACCCGATAGGCGAAATTAATGACAAATTGCATTCATAAACAAATTCTTCCTAATGATTCCACCAACATACTTTCATTCAATTGGACGTATCCGTTGAATCTGCACTTCGAACTGCGGCTGTTCAAATAGTGTACAAATTTGCTGTGTTCATTCATATACCATGGAATGTCAGAAAGATAGATGGGTTGCACCAGCCGCATGCGAAATGTCCGTTGCTTATTCTGTGCACATGTCCTGTTTACCTTCTGAATTTCCTCGCAAATATGAGCTTCGTGCTTTAGATGTTTCTTTGCCTATGAATAATAACAAAAGTTGAAATAGCGGCATGCGCAAAATTGTCGCGATTTTATCATAGTTGCCGACAGATAAATCCACGGTTGCACTATCATCTTCTATAAACATTAAATGCTGTCGGGGAAAACATGTACCCAGAAAGGGGCCGTCAAACCAGCAATCACTTGTATGTCGAGGATAATGGTGCTAGTTCAAATGTTAAAATGGTGGCAATTAGCGAAAATTTACTCTAAGTAATTTTGCTGCGGGTTTTTCTCAGCATGCAACTTGTAATATACAGAAAGTGTTAAACATTTTCTGCTGGCTAACCTGTTGTTGTCTTACCTTTCGGCACACATCCACGTGTGACTGACCAGAGACAGTTGCATCTGTAAGTAGGAGAGTCTGTTATAAACTGGATACTCAGGGCTGAAATTTAACGTTCGACGTAGCATATTTGCTCCCACATGTAGGACAGATTTAAATTGTGAAGTTATCTAGTTAGTTTAAATTAGGTATATATTATACGTGTGTTCATTCAGAAGGTAGAGAAGTATTTATTTGACTAGGCTTGTAGCTAAGCTGCTGCAAGCGAACTGGGCAGTTGACTGTGTCTAAACGTCTCAGCCTCTGCGCTTATTTGTTGACATTAGGCTACACTGAAATGGCGTTGTTTGACCTAATTAAAGTTCACGTGAAGCATAATGTAAATACCCACTTTAAATTACCCAAACTACATCTAACAAATCTTGGCTAACATGCACAAGCTTAGTACGTTTTAATTTACGCCGATATGCATTTAAACTTGTTTTGGTATGCTCGCCAATAATAACTAATTCGACGAGCAGTATGCTGTAATTTTACTAAGCTACATTGCGGTTCTTGAACTAAATGCAACGTTAATTTTAATGGGTATTATTTGCTTTAAATTGATTAGTTTCGTTGTCACAATTTTGCATGTGAAACTTGCACTTTAAGCTGAGTTGCACTCTTAAGCTCGTGGCAGAATACATTCCGTGTGTCTAACTCAATTCATTCATCACTACACCATTTCCCGGCCAAGTTGTCCTCTTGGGCAGCAGAAATAATCTGAGGGGCATTTAACATGAGTCTACTCAATTAATTTGTTCCGGGCGTAGGAGCTGAAGCGTCCCACCTGCACCCCTATGACCTAGTGCGTCTGAGGTCCAATTAGCTGAAGGCGACGAGCTATACACGCAAACCTACACACCTGCACAAGTGACCGGCGTACGCACGGAACAAATTAATTGAGTAGACTTATGTTGAATGCCACTTCAGATTATTTCGGTTGCCCAAGAGAACAACTTGGCTGGGAAATGGTATAGTGCAGACAATTTCCCGAAAGATATGCATGATAAAAAATGGAGCTGCACTAGAATACATAGCATCGGTAGTGTCAACAACCATGAGGCAAGCATGGCAGAGTTGTGAGCGATTTCGTCAACACACACATTTTTACTCAGGGGCGCAGGCCATGGGACTAGTCCTCACAGTAGAAGGTTTGGTAACCTTCAGCTTCATTTAGACCGCTAAAATGATAAATCTAACATTATTCTAAGGTAAAAACCCTGTTTGATATCCGTTTAAATTCCTTTGTATACTAATAAACATAGCACGATTGGATTCATATATTCCTCACTGTTTAAAGTGCACTCACCAAAATTGTTCACACAAGTGAATAAAATATTACCTGTTAATGTCTACAGTGCAATTTTGCGCATATACATCTGGGGATGACTTAAAACGAAGTCGAATTGATATATTATGAAACAAACTAGCCTGACAGCTAAGGTCATACTCTATGTGTGCTTATACGTTATGTCAGGCTAGGGTTTCAGGATGCGTACGGGGCATAATTTAGCCCGGTTAGGTGAATATCACTATAGCTATCGAATAATAATGCATTGATTTATGAGTCATAAAAGACACACGCCTTAAATGTCCGTATATAGCTAAAAGATGGAATCATCTATTTGCATACGCATAAGTGGATTAACAAAAGGCGCGGTGGTAGAAAGACATTTGCGATGAGCATAGAGTTATTTCGATTTTATCGTGCAAACGAATGAATGGGTGGTTACGGTTTATGATAATATCAAATAACAAGCAGAATTCTCACCATTCCGCACACGTTTACGTGGCTTAATGTGAGTTACAATTCCAAAGAAGCCAGTTAGTCTGAACATATATAAAAGGTCCCTTCATGGTCATGGTGAAATTGTGACTCATGCTGGGCATTGTACGGCGCTTATCACCAATGCAACACCCACAGTCTCCATAGCCTAATGGTCATACATTTCCAAGTTTATATATTTGAGCAAACATAAATCCATACAAGTGGGATTACAAGATATTCTTGCATGAGATCATGAGATTTAAATAGTAATTAATTAGTTAAAGCGACCAACATTTCAAGTACATTGGACGTCTATAATGGTTCATAGTCGGGTAAGTTATTTGCTACTGAAACGCAATAATAACAATCAACAAAAACATTTGTTACAAAATGTGAATACTCACAGTAATATCCTTCGTGTGGCACTACAAACAGAAGAGATTACGTTACAAAAGTAGAGCTGCATGAAGCTCAGCATTTGAATTATAGAGTAAGTAATTTTGTGGCAATACAGGTCGGCACACTATCCGCTACTCATAGTAACATATAGCAGAGCAATTCTTACTTGTTCTTCAAATTAGAGTTTACAAAGGCGTTGCGACTGGCCATAATGAATTCTTAGGGAACTGTTGTATTTTCTAGTACATTTGCGCCATTTGAGAAAGTAACACGAATCTCATTCAAATTCTGCTCATATGTGGAGTATGTACTAGGAGAACGGGCATTGCTGTTCTCGAAATATCGCAAGATTCAGGATAACGACATTATAAAGAATCGCACCACGCACGTGAACCTAGCACCATTGGGAAAGCTATTGTGGTGTAAGCATATACCATTAATTCTCAAGCTAAATTTTCATTCTGCCGCGGTCTAGCAATGAAAGCAATTATAAATTATCAGTTGCAGTTTAGGCTAAGTAGATCGGCCATAACCTCAACAAGTGCTGTGACAACTACACTGGGTTCTATTCCCTAAGAAGCAATCTAGTTTTGCACGTAAAGCCATAATAAACATAAACGTTTGTGACAGATATCCTGCATCTCTAGTTTTCGAACCTTTGTCAAACGCATCCTTCGTTTTGGTATAACGAATGGTGGGACAATCTGCTTTCAATCCATTCAAGAGCGAATTGATGCGAAACACAACTGCCCTATACTCTGCTTGTCCAAACAGTTGTCCACAAATGGATGCATCGAATTGAACTTTGAGGATTAGCGGACCCATGTAGCCAGGAATCGTTTGCACTTCGCAGGATTTAGGCGAACACTTTGTTAGGTCGCGAACCTGAAAAGATTAAACATAACGTTTAAATTGGATCACTTATTTAATAATATCTTACTCCAAGACGAGTCATTTTATGCACAACCTCAAAGTATTGATAGGCGAAACTACCCCGCGCAATTTGCAATGTTTTGGGCGACAACGCGCGGTTTTCCGTGCTGCTTGCTACGTCCACGGGACAAAGGAAAAGGATTTTATACAGGTTAAGAACCAACCCGTCGTAGCACCTCGACGCGCTGGTCACCAGTTGTTGATACCTTTGCAGATTGCTTTGCGTAACCCAAATTATCCACGGTCGTGTTCGACAGATGATCTCTGCAGTGTTTGCGTCCTTGGCTAGTAAGGTTATGGACTTTGATGTCGTCCGGAGAGTACACTTCATTTGCTAAGTTGAACTGTTGGAGGTTTTATGTTGACTATTCATGTACTAGATATAAATCACAGCAAACTAAATTCTGATCGGCATTCGCCTGTATCCGGCCATATGTCTTGATATCGTCAGCGATCAGGAACAACATTTGAAGCGAGTTTCCGCACAAAGCCATGGATGAATACCAACAACTATCAGATAATTTGAACTAAGCCTTGGGGCACACTTGACGGGATATTCTGCATGTGGGCGAATAATTTATACATATGGTATATGGTTATCGTGCCGTCGCACATGTATTTGGACAAGGTAGCTACAAGCAATGAATTTAGCTTTATGCATGTTTGACATAATTCGTGTAGCACATAATACTATTGAAGCACTGTTTTATATTCGCAGAAGATCAGATGATTATAACCGGTGAATAAGATAGACTAAGTGACGTTTTCCGTATCTAGAGAGGGTGTTAAGTACCGTTTAATGATTACTGCACAACAATATATCCGTGACTTACCGTACTACAGTTAATTGTGGACGCACGATTTTCTTTGAGAATCGTTGGGAAATCTAGTACATGGCGAGTGGAATACAGGTTGAATTACGTGCATAAAAATGGCAATTACGGAACTAAAAACCTGTTATGCTCTAGCGCAATGGCATCAAAAACATGGGTATAAGCAGGTTTACAAACAGCAACTTTGGTACAATACATATATGTTTCCATGGAGAGATGGTCTGACTACATTCATGCAGCGGGTATTACGTCATGGATTTCCAATTTGCGGTTATACCGCGTCTTGCAAGTGCAGATCATACTATACAAAGCTAATATCATGCAAAGTGAGCTGTCGTGCGCTGTAAAACGAAAAACAAAAATCTTACGTCGCTCTGCTTAGGCGCAAATCTAAACTGCTGATGACTACTTGTCCATAATCGTGTCAAGAATCCCCTTCAAATGATTGCTCGAGTAATTGAAGAACAGTTTTAAACATATTATTCGCTAGACGGACCATCGAATTCTTGTTGTGGAAGAGCTAAAAGTAGAAAAGAGATTGGAAAATGGAAACGAAATACTCCTCCGGTTTACCGAAGTCTTGGTTGTTTCCTGTTTAACGTATGAAGTAGAAAAGTTACTTATGCCCCTGATTAAATGCAAACAGATTGTGCGTCCGTGAGAAGTATGCACGGTTAAAGATTTGTCCAACCTTTCGTGGTTTGCGAATCAACATGTAACAAGCGTCACAACATTTGTTGCAGAACCAAAACGTTTGAAACACCAAAACTTGAAAACCTTAACAGCGCTCCTTAGGGCATTCAGGAATCATTATCACAGTGTATGCAGTTTGTTAAAAGGTATGTAGCACACTTTTCAGACAAGACTAGCATAGCTTTCTATGAAGCGTGTTAAATATAAAATATATGCAACGGGCCACGTGACCATCATATTTACTGCTAAAGAAATACATGGTGCGAGATTCAATAGACTGAGCATGTGTTCAGGATGCGGTTTACGTATGTAAAGTAAATGTTTGACTCGGAAACTTTATCTCACTCCAGGTTTTGCTTTCGGAATCATACGTGGGGACACTGATAGGTACGCAGCTGCTTCGCTCAATTTTCAGTATACGTTGCATCCAATGCAGTTGTTGTACAACATTCTCGGTTACAGGGCGGTCATTGCTGTCAGGCATCGACATATTAACTTCAAATCGGTGATGGAAAATTTGTGCAAGTTCGGACGGCGTCACTTCGTGTTGACAAACGATTGGTCTTAGGAACGGAGATGCCTTTCGTATAATGCCAAGGACCTGCGCGCAGTAACGTTTAGGAAAGGTATTAACTAGCAAAAATAATATTCTAGTCCATCATTTGTAAATATATTTCTGAGCAGGCAAAATTGCACTTTTGACCGTTTAAAAGGCTAAAAAAGTATAGCTAGTTTGAGTGTGGAGCTTAGTACATACACAACATTTAACTTTCCGGCAAAAAATATTAGTAGTATGTACACGGCAGTACGTCGGACCATACAAAGATGAAGTACGTAAACGGTTTTTCACCATAACTAACACAAATAACTTAGTATTTTAAAATGCAATGGCTACCCCTATTTTGATTTGAAAATGTTCATTTCAAGCGCTTACAACCTCACACTTAATGGAATATTAAAGACACTCTGTCTAAAGTGCCCCGTTGTTCAATACTTCTGCTTGCAGCTTAAACATTAACTGATATAAAATGAAGACAGACTGCCGTTTCTGGACTTGCTCATCAAGAGAAAGATTGATGGCACACTGCAGCGCACAGCGTGCAGAAAAGCGATTTGGGAGACAATACCTACATTTTCCAAGTTCGCCCCAGTTGCAAAAAGCGCCGACTCGTAAAAACTTTCATCAACAATGCCAGCGAATTTGCATTGCGGGATTGCTCAAGGCGGAAGTGGGGCTTTTATACTGGACTCTGCTATCAAATAGTTATCCAGCTAACTGCATTCAGATCCATAGAAAACCCCGCAATGAGAATCTGCCAGTTAAACAGCGGAGAATAATGATGTTTATTTGTTCTTATCCTTCAAGGGAAACACGTGGCAAATGATGTTGGTCAGAGCGCAGCTTGACTCTAATGCGCACCTAATCTACCGCCCAACTATTACTTATCCGCGTTAAACGAAGGATTCAGCACCACAGCCGTACGAGTTGCTTCCCAATCAGTTCGGTCTCTAACTTTATCTACCAGTTCACTTGCAGCGGCGGTGACACATAGGCAAGACTGGTCGCTGGCTGGATCAAAAGGTGGCGGAACACTTCCCACTGCGGCTTAGACGGTTGCTGTCCCACCAAAGCAGATTGGACTAAAGAATGAAACGGAACCCTGCCTCGTCTATCACCAAGCACCACATGACGACTCTTTCCAAGTGAACCCAATCGATGCATACAAGTTGCAATTGCGCAAAAGCGGTCCGACGTTGATGAAAATTGGCAAGCCCCTACCGATAAGTTTGAACAGTCCCGCGCAATGTGCCCATAAACAACTGAGGCAGTCAACTAGATTACTTGAGGCCTGGTTATGTCCTTCACAATAAGTTTAGTTGTTTAGCTAGGTTATTAATTGTGGACTGTATTTAATGCATATCTTATTCTGCCGGTATTGCGTGGCGATTGAAGCGAGCAATCGAAATGTTAACATTTCGCAACCCATGTCTTTTTAAGGCGTTAAGGAAGTGTTTGAAGGGGACTCAGTGTTTCAATTGCATACTAAGAAAAAGCATTTATTAAAGACCTATGATGAAAGCAATTGTTCATCGGCGCGCGTCTGCAATTTCTCGAATATGGATGCAATTAATTACAACAAAAAAATAGGGCCTGCTTTACTTGATCCAGGTTAGCAATGAGCCAACATGCAGTTAAAATCTGCACAGCACACATAAAGCACCATTATATTCACTAAATAAGGTTAAAGCTCACAGACACATTCCAGTCGTAGCCGTTGTTGATTAGTCAGCGACCTATGTTGTTTAAATAACCTCTCGTAGGGACATGCTTCAACACTTAACACGTCTTCTCATTGGATGCCGAGAATTTGTAAGCACACTTCCCTGTAAAAATACCACTATAGAAACTGCAAATGCTGCAATTCAAGCGAAAGTAATAGTTACCTTTCTATCCTATTGCACCTGTCAATAGTTTGCGATAAAACTATTTTCTATGAAACCCTTACCTGGTGCTTGCTTTTAAGCACGTGTCGTGGGACACACAAGTTAATTCTCTGTGTTTACTAGCAACTACAGTAACAAGACGTCGGACACCATTAAAACATGTGTCAAAAAGAGTTGCGAGGCCAGATGTTTATTTACTATTTGCTGAGAGAGAAAGAGCACAAGTTATTCAACAACCGTTTTACGAAAGAACTTAATCCAATACCCAGCTAATGGACAGATTGGTCCACTTGAGCTCAGACTTCTCACTCACATCATTTGCAAAAATCCGGGTGCGATATTCCCAACAACCTCGCAACCACATTCGCGCAGCCAATGGCATTGACTCGAGCACGACCGCGGAACATAATCATTCACCAATTCGCAAAGACAAACTTAATAGCCACGTATGGCTACATAAGGAACAGAGCGGTTGCTGACGGTACCCATCATTTTGTTCGCTTTCTACTAGTTAATGCCACCTGAATGCTAACCATCCTGCGCTAAAGACGCCAACTTGCACGTTGACAAAACGTTTACAATCAAGTTGCTTCGCTCGGAGAACACCTCAAAAATTGAACAAGCCACCCAAACTACCAATATTGTAAATCATTTCGTACAGGGTATAACATAATCAATATAATCAAACAAGCTTCACTACAGAATTTTGTAAAAGTTTACCCTCAGCATTTGGGTATATTACAAGGAACACACAAAACCTAACAACATTCGCCTTCATAGCATCATAACCACAAACCTGTGCGTCTGTGCACCCTTTAGTTGTGAGAAAGTAAGACTCGCCCTGGCACGTGCTGCGTAAGTTACAGCCCCGACGAACGCTATTTCGCAGTCTCGTGATCAATACTCTTCCTAAACGGCGCACCCAGGAATGAATACTGAGCATTAATTATAAGGCGTCCTTGCTGATTTTTACTCAGTGTGTTTGTTATACATGCATTTTTTATACCGACCATGCAGGAACATAACTGTTTATTTCTTCACCAACACATTCATCTCTATGTTTGACGACCTGATATAATGTGCCGACTCTGGAGCATTGATTGCAAGTGTTTGAGGAGGACTGCTCGTGTGTGGCAGTAACAAGGCATCAGCAACGGTTGTATAATTCCGTGGTACCAGCAGAATTACTTATAGTGTCAAACATAGCTAATACTAGGTGCATCCGTTCCGACAGAAGGGATAACCATTTGTCTACTCCATCTCCGTTGTAGGTTAATAGGTGCGGGTTCCCTTCTGGGTATAGGAGTTGTGTGGTGTGCATCGCTTTTGCGTTCATTCTTGCGTGCATAGAACTGCGATAAAATATGTTCCTCTCTCTTTTGGGGTTACTACGCCCTGCTGTTGGTTGGTTGACGTTTCGTATCCCGACATTTCTATTCACCTGATAACTGGTGTAGTAGTGTTCGTCTTTAGGTCACCACAAGGTAAAGCCAGAAGTCGCATCCTGGGGGATGGGTGTATTCCATATCACAAGCCGGTTTTCCTGAACCTATATTCATGGCTCGGTCACGTCTTGCGTATTTCAACCGGGCATTTGCTTCGTCTCGCCCTGTTTGCTCGTGTAGGAATCTGGTTGTACCGACCATGTGCTAGTTATCAATCCATATGGCGACTACATATGAAATGGTTGACATTAATTTACGCAGTAAAGTTTATGATTTCTTACGGCTCAACAGCCGGAGTACGTCACCGACCGTTAATTAATGTGCATCACGGTGAAAAGGTGGAGACACTAGCTGTTATGGATTGGATTCCATGCATTTGTTCAACTCTATGTCTATCTAGTTGATGTTTCATACTACGCAGATGATTTTGTTTGATCGAGGCCTTAAGGTGTGAAATGTTAGCTGTTGCGCAATCCGAACAGAAAGAATTGGTCAAGGCTTTGGGAGGGAAAATCGCTGAACTCGAGTTGCAGCTTAGTGTATTAAGTAGCCCTAACCCCAGACCTAACAAAAGACCAAAGTTATCCATTAAAAATGTTACACTTTCCGGCGAAAAACAAGCACCATTAGCGATAAACAACTGTGATGCCAAGCCAGTTGAAAATTCTATAAAATCTTCTGTTGTACTGCAAGGCGTAAAGAGATATGCACAAATTGCACGATCATTGCTATTAGCTGGGCAGCACATTACAAACTGTGTGAATAACGTCGTTGCACAGAAGAATTCTTGCTGCAGCCTTGACTTGTCTTCCCCACAAGACAAGACCAACACTCCCACACGACAAACCTCCACCCAAAAAGAACTGCAACAAACTAAATTACTACGCAACCAACAAGCGATGACAGTCATATGTTCAAACGTACCAGAACCCACCAGCGAGTCGTTAAAAGGTCGACAAGCCGAAGAGCAAAATCGCTGGACTGAGATAAGCTGCGCACTAGTACTAAACGTTCTCCCAACTAGTCTTACACGTCTGTCACGAAACCCATCGTCTCCTCAAGTAGGGGAAACTCGGTTACTGCGAGTAACATTTGGCAACACAAAGGACTTGGAGGATGTTCTCTTAGCAAGCCACAGTCTACCGAACTCTTCTCTCAGTGCCCGAATTTTTCCAGACATGCCATGGAAGGAAAGACAAAAGCGAAAATCCGACCCAAACGCGTCTCGTCAAAATGTAATGAAGAAAGTAATGTTGGTTCATGGTGTGCCCAAACTGAAACATGGCGACACCAGTGAAAGACAAAAACACGATATTGATGAGTGGCGCTACATCACAGAACTCTATGGCATGCAGAAGGTTGTGGCATTCGACGTCAGCCGCTTAGCTTCCTCCCCAAACTATCAAGGGAGCGGGCCGAAAATTTTGAAAGTTACCTTGGCTACGCCGGAGATGGCATCAATGGCAATTAACGTGTGGTACCACAGCAGAAGGCTAGGACCACCAGAAGTACGAATGAGACCATTCCTGCAAGCAGTACAGACCACTGGTACAGTTGAGTCAGACCTGGCTTTTCCGACCATAGACCAGACAAGCGTGCAAACACTCGTGTCAAAAAACGTGGGCAGACCGGCACTGTTTGTGCCGGTCAAACACAGCGAACCCACCTCCTAATGCGGCAACAAATGCAATGCTGCTACACAAACGCCCAAGGGCTTTACTCCAAGTTGCCGGAATTGCGCCATCGGCATGAAGCAGCAACTTGGGACATCATAGCATTAACTGAAACCTGGCTCTCAAACGAGATTTTGGATCCGGAAATTGAACTTAGTGAAATGTCAGTCATTCGAAATGATCGTCCATCTCGCGGTGGTGGCGTTGCTATCTACTACCGAGATCACCTGAAATGTGAAGCTCTCACTGAGCATTCCCTTATTATCCCCGACGCCTTATTTTGCCGGCTGCAGCTATCCGGTCCCGATAGTTGTCCTCAGAAGAAGACACATGATGCTTGCCTCATAGCAGTTGTCTACAGGCCGCCGAAGTCCTCCGCCGACAGCGATGATATTCTGTTAAATACTCTCCAATATGCTATGTCGAAAAAGTACTCACACTACCTAATAATGGGTGACTTCAATGCACCGGCAATAGCATCTGTGTTCCCAAATGGGCCATGCTTCAAATCAAAACTCCTTGAGTTCTTGACTATGACAGTTTTGTATAACCATGTGGATCAACCAACCAGACACCGCGGTTCAAACAAGCCTTCAATACTTGATTTAATCCTGACTAATGAGGAGTTAATGGTTGAGTCGGTTTCATACAACCCCCCGCTAGGTTGTAGCGATCATTCAGTTCTAACGTTTGATTATGTGTGTTATGCCAGTATGGTTGACAAAGAACCAGAAACCCGACGATTCATCACCAACTATTCTAAGCTTCACACTATAGCGACAACCGTTGACTGGGACCTCCAGATGCACACTTCGACGAATGATGCCTGGCAAGTGTTGAAAGGCAAGATAAACTGGGTCCTACAATCAGCTTCAAAAGACGTACCATTACGAGTTTCGCGACGGAGCAACAACTGGATCCGGAGTAGAACACGTAAGTGGTTGAATAGGCGAGACGAGGCTTGGAGGGGTCATTTGCTAGGTCCAAGTGATATCACGTGGAATCATTACAAAACAGTCAGAAACTACTGCACTTCACTCCTTAAAGCTGACAAGTACGAATGGCAGGAAACTATGGTACGCAAATTTACTAGCAATCACAAACTGCTCTACCGGTATGTGAATGACAAAAGGAAGGTTAAGACGGGAATACCACCACTAGAGACGGTCAATGGCCTAACGGTTACTGAAGAGGAGACCGCGGACGCATTGCTCATGCAGTTTGTCTCAGTGACTAGACACACCATGGAACCATCGCCTTGCTACATCCCAGCAAATATCGTCGGCTTATCCACGGTCAACTTTGGCCCTACATCTGTGGCAAAGAAATTACAGTCGCTCAGGGAAAATAGTGCGCCGGGAATTGACAAGATCTGTCCGAAAGTACTTAAAACCCTTGCACCCACCATGGCAGTCCACCTTGCAACCTTTTTCCAGTTTCTATTTGAGTCTCATACACTTCCGTCTGAGTGGAAACGTGGACTTATCACTCCGATATACAAGGGAGGTAAGCGGTCAGACCCTGCCAACTACCGACCTATTACTCTCCTTCCTGTTCTATCAAATTGACGGAGTCTATAATCGCTGATGAAGTGGTGAGATATTTTGAAAGTCTACAAATCATCTCCAACCTCCAACATGGATTCAGACGCGGACGATCTTGCCTCACCAATCTACTACTTGCTCGGGACTCATGGACCAGGGCTGCTGACGAGGGAGTTCCCGTAGATGTGATTTACTTAGACTTTTCTAAGGCATTCGACAGAGTCAATTACCCAGCACTTCTCCGAAAGCTTGCGGCCTATGGTATCCACGGATCCTTGCTCACATGGTTGGAAAGTTACTTATACGACAGAAGAATCGAGGTAAGGATCACCAACACCCACTCCGATAGCCTATGCGTCACTAGCGGCGTACCGCAAGGATCAGTTCTCGGCCCGTTACTCTTTTTAGTCTATTACAACGACCTCCCTGCTAACATTCAATCACCTATGCAAATAATCGCCGACGATGCTAAGATGTGGCGAGCTATTCAGTCAACACCTGACCCTGTCTATCTGCAGGATGACCTGAACCGGATTCACGAATGGGCAGTAAACAACCAACTACCCCTGAACCCCGAAAAGTGTCACCTGTTGTCGCTGCGCAGTAACTGCAGCAACGCATATCACCTGGGGCAGCGCGTTATAAAACAGGTGAGCAACGAAAGAGACTTAGGGGTCATCGTGCAAGAAGGTCTGGGTACTTCGCTCCAATGTTCAAAGGCAGCTAACATAGCGAACTTAAACTTGAGGCTTTTGAGGCGAGCGCTCGGTGCCTTCGAGCGGCAACTCGTGCCATTAATGATTAACGCCTACATTCGTCCCCACCTCGAGTATGCGGTGCAGGCATGGCGTCCGTGGTTAAAACGGGACATTCGTCTCCTGGAGCAACCACAAAGAAGAGCCACTAAGGCAACACGTGGTCTATCGGGCCTTAGTTATGAACTGCGCCTTCGTTCGATCGGTCTGTACTCCTTAGAATACCGACGACTTCGCGGTGATCTGATCCTCACTTACCGGATACTAAGAGAAGAGGACCATCCATGTAAGTCGTTGTTAACATTATCTGCCGACAAACGATGCCGAGGCCATGCACTAAAACTTGTGACTCAATATTCCCGTTTAGATTGTAGAAAGTTTTTTACTCTCTTAGTGTCTGTCCGCACTGGAACGCACTGCCATCGCATGTGGTGAACGCAACAAACATCGAGACATTCGAAAGACTATTGGACTTGCACTTACATGATACACATTATATAACGGTATGATAAACTGCAGTGTCTAACTTACTGATATTTTTGTGTCACACCTGAAACTTTTGTTTTCTTCCATTTGCCATCCTGTGGGTCTTGTAAAGTTATTGCTTTTTATCCCACCAAACACTATTGAACTATTGAACTATTGAACATCAAGGTATGACTGCGATCCATGTGGGTGTCTAAAATGCCATCCACTACTAACACTTCTGCTCTATGGAAATTTCATAGTAATAATACGTTGACTGATAACGGTGGCATTTAAATGCCACCGGACTAATCCGTTAGTTTATTACAACAACTTGTTTATATTTGCGCATATGTATATTTACTCTTTATGGATGATCTCTACAAATTAGCAACAAGTCAGTAAAGGCAATTTTAGTGATAGTCACCACAACAACCACAATTTCTTTTCCTACGGCATGTTTAGAGAAAAACTAAGCATTACACCGCACTATAACAGTGCAGCATGTTATATACAAAAATGTGTACATGTTATTGCGCCATCCACCCAGTTTTATATACATTGATACATAAATGGACTCACAGCCGTACAATTGATGTCAGTTTGACCAGCAGCTGTCGTGTAGACATTGATTTCCACGGGGTAACTTTTCCCTAAATGAGTAAGATCGAACAGGCGTGAAATAAACGGTCCAGGTAACAGAAGAGATAAGGTAGAATTATGCAAATCTCGCCAAACCTCGGAAGCTCAGTTAGTTAAAATAAAACAAGAAGCAATATCACAAATTTACGAAATGTGCGAAGCAAACTTTACATATCGGGAATCTAGCGCTATGTTTCCAACTTCTTGAGATGCAACCGCACAAAAGCCAACGCTACAGAAAAGGTGAATGGAAAATATTCATCCTCCTTTCAGATACATTGCTGTATTCTGCAGTTGCTCACCAATCAGTTGATGATTGCATGAAATAATCAGCGTAGGTAACAGTATACTTTGCACAAGTAACTGTCTTGCCCAGTATAAAGCACATTTATTCAATTACCACAAGTTTAGTGACAAAGCATTTTTATGCTTCCTCAATTCTATTGCTAATTTCGAAAGACGTAACTACTAAATATCTGGATCTCAAGTAGTCAAAGCAACATAAAAGATGTGAAGACGCTGTCCCTGTGTAAACACACGAAATGGTAACGCAAAAAAGACAAACGTATTTTATGCGCTATATACACACTTACTCAAGTCGCTCAAAGTCTTTTGCCAGTCCGGCCCTGTCACAGTGGCACAGCCTTGGGCATTCAAGTTGAGTTTCCGATTTATGAATGCGAATTTGTTGCTCATTTTTGCATTCCTTGCAAAATTTTTGATGTTTTTTGTATTTACTGTAATCGTGTACGGTGTGATGAATCCTCCTTCTTCTATTTCGATGGGTAATCCTGCAAAACATTTCCGGAAACCTCCTTTGTTCCATAATGGTAATGATCTTGCAATAAGCTGGCATTAAATGAGATTAAGCCATAGTTATTTTAATATGCCACTATCAAAAACGGATGTAAGAAAGAACCTAGTTAGTAAACCTACCAGATCACAACATTTTCTTGAATCCTCATGGGTCCAGGACGTGAAAAGACGCACTTCGGCAGCTGTGTAATACAGCCAATAAACAAAATTAATATATGTGGGTTTATTAAACAACATAACATTAGTTTCCTCTATTCGTGACTGATACGGAACAGCATAGAAAGCTGGAGATATAAAAGGTTAAAATAAACATACCAAGTGATTTTAAATTTGACCAGACTCATCTTCACTCAAAGTTGGATTGTGGCTTGTTTCTTTCATATACGACTGTGATAGCTAGGAAGCCACGAACGCGGTACCTACGCCCAGGTCAGTTCAGCGGTTGTAAATTTATTCTGCCTATTTCCATACCGTTACTTCCCATGGAATTAGATAATGACAATGCAAATTGATAAAATACTTGTGGATGGACAAAACACGAAATTATAGCTACTGCTTCTTTAGGGCAAGGAAACAAAATTAATCCTTTAATTAAGTGATATATAGTTATGCCGTTGGTTTTCATAAGAACAGTGTTAATTAAATGGTCCTGGATATTTACTTTTATTGGAAGGTTTTTGTGTGGCTCGCTTCCACCCCTACATAGTTATGACGGTAGGTCAAGCGACAATAAGGGTTGGACAGTCAGTGTAGCAGATAATTGTAACATAAATAAAGAGTTCCGGTAAACATGACGGATACAAGGGACGAAAATGCTCTGCTGAGAGGAGAACCCTTCGTAACATGCGCTGACATCTGCCTATGGCATCCATATTTTGCAGAGTGTTTGATTGTGACGCAAGCACACCCACCTCTAAGATAGTTTTCTAGCCTTTTACCTAATGTGCCTGCATGACAATTTAGTTCCAACCATTATAAGTGGTTTTCACAGTTGACATTCAGGATGTACCATCTTAAGCTAACATAGGAATGATTCAGCTTTTCGCATATTTTAGTCCTTGATATGCTTACTCAATGGAAACAGCGATAGAGTAGGTAGCGTTATATTGCATAACACGATGATTAAGAACACCCTAGTATGATCCCTTTCAATTGGTGGCAGTTTTCCTATCAAATTTTTTACTAGTTTTCGCAATGTTTCTATGAGTCACCTTTGCGATATCTGTGCACTCCGCATCATGGAATCCCAGATTTGAGATCATATTTACTTGAGAAATGTTCACAATATCAATAGATTTTCCACCACATGACTTAAAAGGATTTTATTATAGCACAAACGACGAACGAAACCACGGTAATACTGTAAATGGCACAACAGATTGAAGTGAAAACAAACTGTGCTCAGACTTTGCGTATGCTTATTGTTCGTCGAGTGAGAAAGTGGTTAAAATCAAATTGCTGATAAAGAAAAGTTGTTAGATCGTTTGGAAAGATAGTAAAGTTTAAAATGCAAGTGTTGGCTTAGTGTAGTATATATGTATGACACAAAACAGATTTGGCTTTAAAGCTTGCTCAAGGCATTATCGGCTCGATGGTTTGGAGCAATTTTAATTTACCAGATGGGCACATTCATTAAAGTAACTTACTGAATTCTTCACAGTAAACCTTAGAAAGCCTCAGGCCAATTGCTAGTAGTATTGTTAACATTTAGTCCGTAGTTGCTTGTTCAGTTAAATCGTTGTACTGTGCGGGCCTTGCAACGCCTCATTACTAAGAGTGTGGATCGCGTTTTCAACAGCAAATTAACATTTGTCAATGAATGCCGTTTGGTAACCAAGAGTGTTTTCATTTCCATTTGATCATGACAAAGTTATTGATCCTAACCTGTGGTTCTCGGTGTTAGACTTAATCAATATCTCATGACATTACGGCTCACGATGTTACCAATGTGGCATCACAAAATACAGGATGCAATAATTAAACTCCAAATCTACACTATAGTGAGCGCTGGCTTAATCTGAAAAATGCAAAGCAAGCTGCTCGCCTAGTGACCAGCGCATCTAAAGTGTGCTTAATTTTTGACGCTGGTTTAGTGTGCCAGACCACTAGTTACAAAGACTAGAAAACAACCTTTGCAAATTATGTAAATTTAGGTATCAAATAATTAGAAATCCTTTAGCGAGTACGTAAACTTCAGTGTTACCGGGTTGCGTACAATGCAAATTATACTTTCGCCTTCTACTCTACTTGTAGCTGGCTGGCAGGCGCCAGTATCAATGGAAAATGGTAATATCATAGGTCGTGGTGGTTCATTATCTTTGGTGGAAGTAAGCCGTAGTGAGTAAGTTTGCTTATCTACTAACCTATTTATTTTGTTACGGCAGTCGTACACGCTCAGTTAAACTATGCTCGTGCCTATATAATGCTTCCAAGAAGCAAGTAGTAGGTGACAAGCTTTCGTCGCAATGAGACTAAAATATCAGGTCCCTGAGCTTCCCATTCATTCATTCCAACGTGTGAAATCTGTAGAGTGAAAATTTGTGTGCAATTATTGGTTACTTATTTTCAATCATTGCCGAGTTATGACTAGCTCTTAAGCGATATATTGGCCAGCTCATTCACGAATGCTGGCTAGTTGGAATAAGAAGCTAATGCATTTCATGCGAAAAATATACAGATATACTACTTGAAAATCACACTTGGCAACATTGTTTCCTATATTAAAACAACATACATTTAACCTGTAGTGGTTTCCACGTGAACGTTAGACTCATGAAGCAGCTTGTAAGCTGTCAGCGGGCATTGGTTATCGGATACAGGGCATGTAGCTGTGAAACCAGCTACAAAGTAAAGCGCAAGGTTATTCAGGAACATAAGTTTGCGAGGAATACTCTTTTCGACAAATCACTTCAGGCATTTACAATGATAAAGTAGAAGGACAGAGTACAAATAGATGAAGGAGCCAAGGAGGTGGGCATAGTGAAATCACGAGAAACGGAAACGCAAGAGTCTTGATCAATAAAGTCGACGAACAACCTATTTGACAGAGCACGTGTTGGTTAATCGGTGGAATGCCAAGCGCATCATACGATCATTGTAGACGCACGGGGTGATAAAAGTTGGTAAGCTAACTGGGACCAAGGTGAAATGTGCCCTTGCAGCAAGGCCATTTGTTGGTATAGTTCGGATTGAACAATCCTAATCGCAATCGCTTCTGCCGTCCGTACTATTTGCTTCCCATAAACTTTAGTGTACCGTGTCTATACCACATAAAGTACTTGGTAGGCAGCAGCGGTCCTAATTCGGTGTCCGCTTTCCACCATATGTTACAGCATGAAAGAGTTGGGGCGATTGACGGCGCCTTTCTGCAAAGTAACTGAGCAGTGTTCCGCAATGCGTTTAGGCAAACGCCTGGTTGTGTGCCCCACGTACCTAGCACCACAGGCGTAGTTAAACTGATTTAGATTTAAGATTTGAACTGAACCTGAAGCTCATCTTTAACTCGTTAGGCTATAAAGGGAGCGGTTTCAGCAAGGAAGTCTGAATTTGCAACCGAGAACGCACGAGACACTTCACTGGAAATTTTTCTGGTAAGCGGATCAAAGACAACATCGCCTTTAATAGGTACTGCCAGGAACAATTTTTATTAGGGAGATTAATTGCCACTTGACGGCTATGTAGGATCACCGCACACTTTTTGCTGAGTGGTGTCCGACAACCGTAATCTTGCAGCGTTTTTAGAATACGGAACTTTGCAGTCTCTAGCGTCTCAGGGATGCACATTTTCGTAGCACAATTATACAGGCAGCGAACAAGATTACGTTTGTACCTCAAGGGTACAAAGTTCAGAAAAGGTGTACATTGGCCTACTCAGGTGGCCTTCCAGAATACACTTCATTCCAATGAACCATCATTTTTTCCACTTAACAACACGTCCAAGAATGCTAGCTTACCATCTCTTTCGGTTTCGATAGTTAACATCAAAGAACGATGTGCAACGTTTAACTGGTGTAACAGGTTGTTATTAGGTAGGCATTATTGTGCAATCGAGTGTAAATTGTTGTGGGCAAACTATGAAACAGGCGTGGTGTAAATTTTGACGACTATTAACAAAATGATGGTATCTAAAAGATGGTATCTAAACTTAAATTGCTGTTTTGATGGAACGTTTAGTTGTATTCTTAGTGTCAAGTCTGATCTTTTAAATAGAGGACACAGAGACGGGCTGACATACTATACATAAGAACACATGTCTGTTATTTCGCACTTATCCTTTCCCAACATATTCGCGGCTAAATTTAAGTATTATACATAAAGACGCTTTCCAAGGAACTCAATATATAGAAGGATCGCGAGAAGCGGTGATAATGTGGATCGGTATTCGCACTGAAATGCAGCACGGTCAAACAGACCATTGGGCTTATACATAAGGATGCAGGTGGATATTCGTTGTAGTTGTTCGCCTGAGAATACTGCACTTCCTAAAACGTTTCCAATGTTTTGCTCGCTGCAGCTAAAAATGGTGCCGATCAAAATTCTCGAAGTTCAGTGCAATTCTAGTCGGGGTTTAAAATAACATGGTACGTCACCATGCAATCACACGACGTGTGCTTCAAATAAACATGTAGTAAATCATTACCCGTGGTTGTAAGTGTCTCGCACCTTGACGTGGCGATGAAGGTAGAGGTTCCTGCTGATTTCTAAAACCCTCCAATTTCGAGCACCTGTTACCCATATCGGAAGAGACCCGACATTATGGAATCTGGTCCCAAAGTGTAGTTTTCCTGTTTAGTAACAACCAACGTGCCTCATCTTCAGCGAATAAAGTACTAATAGCTTAGCGAGAATCTAGTCACGAAAGCTACTATGAACAGAATAAA